CCCTTCTCCTGAAGATTCTTTTGGTGGTTGCTCACATGAACCATACTATCGAACTGGGCAAAGCGGTGTCTCTTTTCCTCCTTCAGGTACCTAATTTTCTACTGGCAAATATTGTCAACTTTTGTGAAGTTTCTCAACCCTTATTTGTCATTCAGTTAAGAGACATAAAACCCGGAAAAAAAAAAGAGATTGGTGATCGGTTAAGGCTGAAAAATGCAGCTGGTTTCGTAATCTCACTTGTAAGCCGCTTTTGGTTGTAGGGGATTCAAGCACAACTTAGGACTTACGTCTTAAAACCAAGAATAGGAAACTCGGAGTCCAAAGGGCTCTGTGACTGTGACCTTGTACTTGTGGAAACACAAACGCGTAATTGCTCGCAAGAGTGAAATGCAATCAGCATTACCTTGACTATGCTCCATTTCTTCCAGCCTCTGATTCTGTGATTTGAAAAGTATGATTCCTTTTGCATCAATTTTTTTGCTTATTTATGGCGCAATTTCTTGCTTCATGTTTTGATTTGGTTGTTTTGTAGAGGCCTATCTATTATGGGATATACATTCCATTAGGACTAGAAGACGGGTTAAATTCTTCATTATGTAGCCTCGCTTTGACGCTGCAGTAAAACAACCACCATCTCTTTGTATTGATTTAGCTCTTCATCTAGCTTCTTTATTACATCGTCTTTCTCTGCTATAGTCTCTAAGAGTTGTCTATTCTCTTCACTAAGAACCCGAAACTGGGCAATGATGCCATCTATCTGCACCTCAATGGCTTCGTCACTCAGCTCAAACGCAGTCTCTACAACCCTGAGTACCCTCCACAAGCAAACCACCACGATTAGGCCGGCCCCCTTTGTCTGGAGAAACACTTGTAGAACCAAGGCTCCGATGGCTCCTGCACCATCCACCACACAACCCGGGCGTCGAAAGAATGAGATGCCCATTCCAATGGATAAGGCTATGGATTTGGCGGCTAGAATGCTCAGTATCACTGTTCCTCCCCAACGGTACCACTCATTCCCGTTCTCGATTTTCTTGTCAGATTTGCAGGAGAGCAGAGATGAAGATAGTTCAAGGGAAGTGAATAGGATGTCCAAAGAAAGTAAGAGAATGGTGAAGACATGGACTGGGTACGACTCTAGGAAATTAGTTATGGTAATTCTCCATTGTTTCTTGCCGGTGATGATCATCTGTTGATTTTTTGGACGGAAGAGACAAAAGTGTCGCCATATTTGCCTTCTGTGCCAACTCTTTAAGAGGTTTTGGATCGAAATTTCAACAGATTCAACCTCTCCAGTTATGATTTCATTGGCTGAATTCATTGGAAGAGAACTTGCAAGATCTTGATGATAATGATGAATGGAAGAGAACTTGCAAGATCTTGATGATAATGATGAAGACGATGATGTGAGGTTTGAGCAAAAGGCAACAACCCAGCTTTATGGTTGAGAATTGGGTATTTTGGAGTTGTTGCTTGAAAGGCAAGTAAGCATGGCTGCATTCTTTAGGGTAACGATTGAAAAAGCATGAGATATGGGCTTACATTCTCTCCGAATATATCAATAAAATTATATAAATATATAATAATGTTGCTTTTTGGTTTCTTGTTCCGCAAGTTTCATTCTTCTGCTTGGGATATTTGGCTTTGGGGGCACGAACTATTCAATGGTTAGTTTTCATGCGATCAATTTATAACCATTGAATTTGTTTAAGAAACGGACGAATACAAAAGCGAAGAACTCATACGTATGCAATGACGATTGCCCTTCAATAAAAAAGCTTATATTATGTAATATTATGAAAATCGTAGCATGTGATTAATCGCTTTTTGAATCTTCATACCTTATTTAATATTTGTAGGACAAAAAAAAAACGTTCATCGAATCCTCATCTTAACCTTTGAAAGATCTTCCTTTACTAATTAATCTAATCATTGAAATATCCCAACTTTTTTTTATTAAACTTAATAATTCACCAAATTTTAATATGGTTTTACAAAAGAACAGTATGAATAACCAATTTTGTAATAATTTTCTAAAAAGTATGAATTTATAAATAAACGAATCAAAATTAAACTATTTTAAAGAATTCAAGTTTAAATTTAATTTAGAATTTATATCTAAAAGTCGGTTAGATATAATTTTTAAAAAAATGAATAATTCAAATTGAATACATAAATAAACGAATCAAATTAAGTTATTTTAAAGAATTCTAATTGAAATTTAATTTAGAATTTAAATCGAATACTAATGATAATGAAGAAAGAAAGAAAGAACAACCAAAACTCAAAATATAGATCAACTTTCTAATTTCTAATTTTGTTGTCTGGTCATGAAGAAATTTCAAAACTTTGGCTTCTACATCTTATTACGCGTCTTGTTTTTATTTGTAGTTCTCACACGTGTCATTGTTATACATTGTTGGACACGTGTCATTAATTTTTTTCCTTTGATGTTATCATTCGGTTAGTAATTTGTATATTATTTGGTTTCGAGGGCAAAATATTTAGAATGGTTTTATAAATTGTAACATAATGATTTTTAGAATGGTTTTTATAGTTTTTTAAAATTTGGTTTTTTTAAAATCCGAAAATTTATTTTATAAAAAAATCAATTAAAAATCAAAAGCCGTATTTTTTTAAATTTACAATTTTATAAAATCTAAAAACCAAAAACCAAAAACTAAAATAAAAAATCCAAAATAAAACCACCATCCTATTCTTTTTTTTTTTTATCTATTTTCAAAATATCACGAGTTTATAATATATTTTGAGGATTTACGGAAGAGTGAGTGAATAAATTAGAATTTTTAGTCCCGAAATAGTAATTTTTAATTCGAAATTAGAATTTTTAAGGAGTGAATTTTGCTCTTGTTTTTTAGTTCCTTTTTTTATTTGACCTTTTGACTCTTCTTCCATTATTATTCGTACACCTCAGCAATGGCGTTGCATGCCTTCTTCTTCACCACCTTCCCTGCCACTCTCGAGTCCTATAAATTACGTTACAAGCAAAATCCTTTTCTCAGAAACAAAAAAACGAGAAAAAGAAATCTTCGAGACGCAGCATCCATGGCGACGAGTGGAGTACGAAGGATCAAGCTCGGAAGCCAAGGCCTTGAGGTCTCCGCGCAAGGCCTTGGTTGCATGGGTCTCTCCGCCTTCTACGGCACTCCGACACCGGAATCCGAGGCCATCGGTCTCCTTCACCACGCCATTAACTCCGGCATCACCTTCCTCGACACCTCTGACATCTACGGTCCCGAGACCAACGAGATTCTCATCGGCAAGGTAATCTAGATTTCCGATAGTAGATGTTCACTTCAATTTCCGCAATCTAGGACGTTGATCGAGAGGTTGATAAAGGCGGAAGCAGAGTATAGGGAAAATGGTCCGTTTTAGGGTTTATGCACGATTGTTGAAATCTGCCAGGCTCTGAAGGATGGAATGAGGGAGAAGGTAGAAGTGGCGACCAAATTCGGTATCAGTCATCTTGCGCAAGGGGTGAGCGAGATAAGGGGAGATCCTGCGTATGTCAGGTCTGCTTGTGAGGCAAGTTTGAGAAGGCTTGGCGTCGAATGCATTGATCTCTATTACCAGCATCGGATCGATACCCGTGTCCCAATCGAGATCACTGTAAGCCTTTCTCGGCGTATCGGATTTTCGAATGCACTCAGTGCCAGTTTACTGGTCAATGTAATCTGTCTCAGGCTCTGAAATGGTGTCTTGTTTCTGCTCAATTTTCGGGTCCTTTTGCAAGATGGGAGAACTCAAGAAACTGGTCGAAGAAGGCAAGATACAGTACGTCGGGCTATCTGAAGCTTCTGCCTCGACTATCAGAAGAGCACATGCTGTTCATCCGATAACAGCTGTTCAGTTAGAGTGGTCCTTGTGGTCGAGAGACGTTGAAGAAGATATCGTCCCTGCCTGCAGGTCCGGAATCGACTTGGACTCTCCGAAACTCCTTCTCGACGCCCTTATAACGTCTCCTCTTTTTCATCTTTGTAGGGAACTCGGGATCGGGATTGTTGCTTACAGTCCTCTCGGACGAGGCTTCTTTGCATCGGGACCCAAGCTTCTCGAGAAACTAGAGCAAGGTGACTATAGAAAGGCAAGTACGCGAGCACTGTAATTGGTTTGATGGCTATCAGTATATATATATAAGCCTTTCTATATGAGTGTTCCTGGATGCCGCGAATTCGGGTACCCGATCATGAGGAAAACCTTAAAATCGGGTTCGAATTCAGGTAATTGACTCAGACGGATATTATCCCCATGGGGTGGTTTTTGCAGGATCTACCGAGGTTCCAAGCCGAAAACGTAGACCACAACAAGGTTATGTACGAGAAGGTGACTTCCATGGCGGAAAAGAAACAATGTACTCCGGGGCAACTAGCACTGGCGTGGGTTCACCACCAGGGAAACGATGTGTGCCCCATTCCAGGAACCACCAAGATCGATAACCTCATTCAGAACATTCGAGCTTTGTCCGTGAAGCTCACTCCCGAAGAAATGGCTGAGCTCGAAGCCTTTGCCCGGCCCGACTTCGTTAAGGGGGAGAGGTATAACCGTGACATCCCTACCTACAGAGAGTCCGACACTCCGCAACTCGGGTGAGTTGCACTCGTTCTGCTTCTGTACCACCGAGTCGCATGTAAGGCTACTGAGATAAATGTAGTGATTTTGTTCTATAGAAAAAAAATAACACGCAATGTAAGATTACTACAAACAAACAAAGCGCAGGAAGCCATATCCTTATAAGGGCACATTATATTTCTCTTATTTTATTGACTTTTATTTAACCCTACAACACACATTTGCATACTACAGGAGGATTTGAAGGCACATAAAACATGTAATTGAAATATCTACAACAGCTGGGCTGTCATGCCCAAATCTATAAAATTTAGATAAGCATCTAAAATAATCGATTTCGAGATGCCAAGGGTGAAACCTGTGGCAAAGCTTGCGTCGGTCGAACACGTTTTTCCACCGCCAAATCTCGCTGTCCGACAAGAATTCCCGTTGTAGCAGCTTAGGGCCAACATTCTCTGCCAAGGGTCATGCCCTTTTTGGCGAACTACCTCTTGTGTTATCCATCAGCTCCTTGGCTCCTGCTTCAGACGGATGCTCGCGGGCACGGTGTATGTGACTGGCTGAATGCAATTAATTAAAACCATCGATTTAACATTTACAAAAACATCAGCTAATAACTTCACCAAAATGTGCATTAATGGCAATCTGATACGGGAAAAAACATCAGTAACATTGTACTATTTCAATCCATACCTGATCTCATTCAGAGAAACTACAAGACAACTTACTTGTGTTGTACTCATCAGAATACTGCTCGCAAGATCCTCGTTAATTGACACGGGTAGAGGCGGCATCCGGCTCATGATTCCGGGCATCTCCCTCATGCTGCAACAATCAGATAAGCAATTTTTGCAAATCAAGCTTTAATCATAGAGAAGGGGAGGAGGAGAAAGGAAGTGGCCTCAAAACATGCTAAATCCACATACTCATTCAGGATGGCACTGATATTATTTCTTGCCTGAGAAAAGAGATTGATGTTATCCCGTAGCTGTATGCAGAAGTCAAGATTTTAGTGAGTAAGCTTCATTGGGAAAAAAATACGAAAACAACGATATAGAGACAATAATTAAGACAAATACTACACATATGAAAAACATGAAATATATTTTTGGCCGTCTTTTCCCTCGTCACACCAGGCATCAGACTTCTCATTCAACCAACATGTCAGTCAGGATTCGCCAACTAGAACATTACCTTGCATGCAGAAATGTTGTGAGATATTTGACTGAAAGCTAGTTTATTCTGCTGTAGAAGATCAATCGCCATCTCACTTAGACCTGGGAAAAGAAGAGGTTGGAAAAATATGCGACTTGAAGAGAGAAAAAAGGGTATCCTAGTTAACAATATTGAAATATTCTAAGATATACTCAGGAAAAAGGGCAAAGGTGTTTATATTCGGGCATAAACAAGACGGTTCACAAATCGTCTCACATGTGCCACTTCGATATAGACATCTCAGAGTAACTTCTTGCAGCATATGATATCTTTTAGATGAATCACAAATGCCTCTGTCGCGCCTTCCGTATGACGATGACGTAGAAGAACTAGATGATAACAACAATACCTTGACCTAAATTACCACTAACCTTCACAAGGCAATCGTACGCTGTGGTACATACTGTTCATGAATGAAGCAAAGGCAGCATTTTGTTGTGGCATATCTGGGAGCTTGTTCAGCTTCAGAGTTGGAGATGAATCCACCGGCTTATCCTGAAGAAGATTTGTCTTTAGATGCATTTTGCGTCATAAGAATAAGCTCACGACATATTGATTTGCCAAATTCATACACCCAAATTATAGGTTGCCATTGCATTATCCGTGACTGCATGTAACTGGAACCGTATTCTCAGGGTTCAATTTCACAATGAATGCATAACACAGTTGCATTTTTTCTGAACGTGACCTAACCAAACATGTTCTCAGCGAGAAACCCAACACATAGATAATCTAGCCAAATAAACATTTCTTCTTACGAGTAAATGCGAGTAAAATCATAATGTCACAAGGATCGAGCTTCTTCAATGGAAACTATCACAATTGGCTCACAGGATATCTAATAAAACATTCATCTGCAACCAAAATCTCTTTTAAACAAAAGCCAAACAAGAGAACCACTTATCAATTATTTGTTTTATTGAATTAAAAGAAGATATATCATAGGTCCGCATGAGCCAACACACCTTCCTGTTGCTAATCTTCTTGGCGGAACTATGTTCTTCCCCTTTCCTTCGTTTTCTCTGTGAAAATGAATGTCTCTATGTCAGTCACAGTTGAGACAAACTTAACAATCCTGACATATATAGTTGAAAGCAGATATCACTGACCGAAAACACCGGAAAGGAGTTACTTATATAAAATTATGGTTGACTGATTCTGATTAGAAAACTCAACTAATTCTCTTTCAAGCTCCATACAATTTCACAGATATGAAAGGACGGATACATGTAGTGGAGATAAAATTTGATCACTTTTGCATTACATTTTGTTAAATTGTCTTTTTCTTTTCAACTGAATCATGCTTTATTTCATTGCGATCTTGTAAAGCGTATGGATGACATAAAACACATTTACCATCATAACATAACTTTGAAGTCACCCATAAAGAAGTATATAACCATTCAGAAAAGATATATGTCAAAATAAGTTTCCAAAAATATGAAAGACTTAAGGATCTTGATAATCAGACACATATTAAAGCAACATCAGTTTCTGGATAACAACAAAAATCAATCAAGCTTTAGGGCTGTGCTTTCCAGCATTTCCTTCCACATTCATGGCTTTCTGAGCAAAGGAATCAAATCTCTAATCAATAATTCTTATCATTTCTCTTTTCACTCGTCCTTTAGGAATGGTGTGGCTCTTTTTGATAAATATAATTTCATAAACTTACAGTGAGAACATTAAAAAAAGTTTTTTCTTTAGTACTTTTATATCTTTATCATAAAGCATTCACCAAAAATAGTATCATCATCCCTAAATAAAGTTAGAAATACCCTAGCAGCACCATTTCCATGTACCATTTTGAAAAATGAATTGCTGATATATTTGTTTAGCAGTGATTAGCCCTTGAAAGTCTAGACTGATGGTAGTATTTATTTCCTCTTTGCATGCAAATGTGTATAACAAAGGACACACAACAAACAATGAGAAACATGAACATAGCTCAATAAACATAACCGAAATCATGATAAGGTAGTATAAACTTACTTGCATCCACCTGCACCTCAATGCTACATCACGTACAGTTTTATCTGGTAATGTTGCCGCAATCTTTATATACTTCATAATCTTCGAATCATCTTTGTATCTACAAGGAGCACAAACAAAGATTTCATGAATGCATGCTAAGGAAAGAGAAAAACTTTAGACAACAAAAGCCGGTGAAAGTTTAAAATCACTTAAAAGGAATCATGAAGGAACAACAAAGGATTTCAGAAAGTTTCAAGGTTTGATATTGTTCATGGTAAATGAAAAAGGCACGCCGTTGTTATTCTACCATGAATTTTAGAACTACAACTAATATAGCCCACAATATGGGGATTTGTTCATTGCTTTTAAAAGGCTAAATACACAACGATTCCAAAACTTTCAAATTTCTCCCATTTGAGGAGTAAATCATCTTAAATGACATGGCATAAACAGCTCTTTCTTCTTGCCTATTCACAACGAAAAACTAGGTTTCGTCAAATTTTTGAACTAAGAAAGCTAGGGAGCAACATAATTGAGAGCACAGAGCAAATGACAATGAATGAACAGGATTAGCAACTTGGACGGAAAGAACACCAGCACAGAAGAAGATACCTACATTTCAAGGCCTTTCTCCAACAAATACTGCTCCCCTACAGCCCAATCCATAACCGCGGAAGCTTCATGCTTGAGTCCAGATACCGAATCAAGAACACCCGAAACCGAAGCCGAAGACGAATAATTACCAGCTGAAAGAAACCCAGATGTAGTGTTCATACCAGAAATCCCAGGAAAAACTTCACCAATCGTGCTAGTGCTCGATGGACAGTAACTTTCAATCGGAATCACAACCGCCGAGCTGTTTCCGGCGTCTGATTGGAACGATAAACCATGTTCAAAGAAGCTCGATTTCATAACCCTTTTGGACTCCGACACAAAACCCAATAAAAACCAAAAAGGGCATGAAGAATCCACCAGAAATTTCACACCGGCGACAATAAAGGACAAACGGGTCTCGGAACTCAAAATTTTCTCACGACAAAAAACCCTAATTTCCGCCGGAGCTGCCACATTCAGAGACGGAAACAGCGAGAGAACGCCGGAAACCCCAAGAAATTCCGGAGAATCGAGGCAGCCGAGGAACAGAGAGAATGGGAATTGGAGAGCAGGAGCAGGAGAGAAGAAGCTTTTCGTTTTGGTGGGTTTGGGTTGTCTTGTTGGTTTCATCCGTTGTTTAGCATGGAACTCTGTATTCATCCCTCTCAGATGGAACCTTTGCTGTTGTGCCCTTAATTATTTATTGTCTAAGACCGGCCCGAACCGGCTAAAAAAAAGAGTAGACCGGTTAAGAATTCGAATTTTCGATCGGGCTCCGGATTAGAAACCCGCAACATCTTTGTTTTTTTTTTTCAAAGAGAAAATCGTGTATCAATACTAAAACTTTTATAAAAAAAATTTAAATAATTAGTTGAATTATAAAACTTTAAATATAAATATTTCAATTTTTTTTAAAAAATTTCTATATAAATATCTAGATTTTTAAAAAAAATTCAAATAAACTCAAATTTCATATATTTTTGAAATAAAAATAATCAACACATTAATAGATTTTAGATTTATTTAAGAAATTTTTAAAATGATTAAGTATTTATGTAAAATTTTTGGAAAATTTTAGATATTTATGTAGAAACTTTTATAATTCAAATATTTATTTGAAATTTTTATAAAAGTTTATATATTTATATACTATTTTCCTTTTTCTATAATATAGTAGTCTTTCCAAGTGTCCACGAACATATTTGTGTTTGATATAATTTGATTTGATAGAAGTATATATAAATAGTAGTGTTTATTTATGAGTAAATATAATAAATACAATTTCTTCTAAACTCTATAATCCATTTCTTTTAATATGTCATCGGCACATAAATTATTCTCCCTTTGAAGTTTAATCTATATTTCGATTCACTGACGAGAATCTCGATTTATTTAGTGATTGAATAAATTATGGACTAAAATGTGTTCATGTATGTGCAGATCATCGAAATGATACCGATGATATCTACTTCTCATTGTCATCAATGGTCATGATGCCTCTACAAAAAATGTGGAGTGGATGAATTCATAAACTTTGGTATTATTAAATCTAAAGATATTTTGTTGATTTTCTTATATATAAACGTTTATCATTACATTATCATGAAAATTGTTTTCATTAATTAGAGAAAAAATCCTAAATCCGACTTTAATACACTACTCCCGAAACTCTACAGAGGGGGACATAGAACCTTCATATATTTTCCCGAAAAAGGATAAATATATTTATGTTGATTTTAAAGTGTAATATATATATATATGATACACCACAATGCAAAAAAAATCATTTAGTTTCCAAAATAAAACCACAAATAGTAAAGTGATATTATTTTAGCTAGATTTATCAAGAACAACTTATCAACATCAACATCAAATTAATCCCAAAGATTACATTAATCTAAATTTATTTGGGATCGACTATATAAATTTTTCATTTTCATTCATTTCGATTTTTAATTAATTATAACAATTCCAAATCATTCTTAAATTTACCAAGAACTTTATGTACTTAAAGACAAAATGGATGAAAGGTACCAAGAACTACACTTGTACGCTAAACATCACTTCGTAACAAAAAAAAAAAAAGATTTTTTAAACTTAAATCATTTCGAGTATCCAAAAAAAATTCCAAGAAGGAATCATCATCTAATGTCTTCCCCAAAATCTCAACGAAGAACAATAATTTCAGCTCTTTGTTACCTGCCCTTATTATCAGTTTTCATGCAATGCCTCAGTGAGATAGAGCCTACTGAAGTTCTGACCAGCCACACTGCAAGAATTTGAGAGATGAGATGAGATGAGATGCAAGGAAACGATGAGCAAATAACTGGTTTATATCGGAGAACTCACCCGTTGATTTGGCTGCAGAAGTTCGAGACTTGGTTCGTTATCAGGAAGCCCTCGAGCCTCGATGGTTCAGGAATGGGTTTAAAGATGGGGTTTGATGGATCTTCCTCGGGCAATGCCTCCTCTCCAGCTGCTCTCCGGGCCATGTTCTCCGCCCTGTATTCATTAACCGTTCTCTATTAAGCCCTCATCAAATACTTCACCATAAACCCGTGTGTTTATGCAAATTATTATTTCGGAAGAACAATCTACAACAAGGATAACTAAACAAACCTACCTCCTCTTCTGGAGCCATGCTTGTTGCTGTGCTTGCTGACGGGACAGGTTCCGGTAGTAGAATTGAAACTGACAAGAAAGAGAAATCAGATTACGAATTCACGATTGTTTTCTGACACTGGAATAGAGCAACAATGCACACCTTTTGCTGCTCCATAGATAAGTCATCCATGCATTTAATCAAAAAATCCATATTGTTCTCGAGGAAGGGAGTGGTCGATGAGCGTAGACGATCATAATCACCCTAGAAAAGGAAAAATACAGGAAGAATGAAATCCAATATCCTATATTGATAGAAGAAACAGACACAAATCCTCACCAGACACATAATATAGTACCTGCGAGACGGGTGTATCTGTCTCCAGTTCGGTCATAAAGGCACTGATAAGCGCGGAGTTTGATACCTTAATCTGCCAAAGAAAGCAAAAAAGGAATGTGAAATTACTCTGCTCTATCTCTAATTCTCTATTACCAACCAAAACTACTTACCATACGAACAAATGAATGAACGAATGAGAGCAAATAAACATAAATTACATAACACTTTCCACATAATTTGTTTAGAGGTTACGCAAATAAGGGTGCAACATAAAAGAAAATCAATGCGCATAGACTTACTGGTATTTCCTCAAAGATATCCATCCATGAGAAATTTTTCTCTCTCAACCTGTAGGAAATAAGATCAGAACATGATTACTCAAAGAGAACAGAACAACAAACTTTTTGAAGAGGTGAAAATACATACTTCTCGCCCGTAAAATTTCCGTTTCGGTACAACTCCATGAAGGAGTCAGAAAGCTTCACAGCCTTCAAAGCTAATACACCCTGATCAGCTTTTGAGGGATCATATATGATGCACACACACCTCTTGATGCTCTCCTGTGACAGTAGAAGACACATTTTGTTAATACTTAACATATCTCTCCTATTTTGACAACGGTCCATAACAAGCTTGTCAAATTGCAAGAGAATGCGCAGACAAATATGCCCGAAACATTTAACAGTCCAACAGAGCCATATTAGTCGCTCAAAATAATAGAACGATGAACAGAGCGACATCCACCATTTAGATGATTGGTAAAGAGGAGCCTTAGCAGATAGGTTTGTTAAAAAAATTGTAATTTGCTCATAAATATTGACGCCAAGCTTGCACTTAAATCTTATCATTGAAACAGATGTCCATTTGTACACCTAGGTAACAGTTTCACACATGAGAACATCCGGGGGATTCGGTCAGTTTGTCCAATCATGCATTGCAGGCACCAGGAACAAAAGCATGCAGAAAAAATCCTACTTTTACACTAAAAATAGCAAAATGGATGTAGAAGGCAAAATTTCCAAATGGAAGAACCGACTTGGAACCAAAATGCGTTTCAACACAAATCTGCTACTCAGGAATCTAAATACATACCTGATAATTCATAAACGTCTCAATCAGTTCTACTGTCTGATAAGAACCAAGGATTGTTGATTGGTACCTGAAAGTATTCAAAAGGACGCTCTTAAATTGATAAAAGAATCTATCTGATAACCAAATAAGACTTTAATTACAAACACATTTAACCTACCATCCCACAGTGTTATTGTCAACGTTTACCTCCCTCAAGCATCTCATCATTTCAAGCTGATAATTAGCACCATCAGCTTCAATTTCTTCATCACCATCCCGGACCTGCGTTTTCCGATAACACAGATCAATAAATCATAGCTTTGATAATCCGGGAAAATCTGTAGCATTCTGAAGCAGCAAGGAAATCATTCCAACTTACGGGGAAAGGAAAACAGTTGGTGACTTCAAGGACGCTTCCGACATCTAGTCCAAGAAGCTGTCCAGTGACGAGAGTCGGGGCAAATTCCTTGCAGTGTTTGATTATCTTTAACACAACCTATGACACATACATAAGCAGGAAAACCCCTGCATCAATGCCTCCGTACCATGAGAATGAAAAATGCCACCACTACACCGGTTTCACTAACACAATTTAGCTTTCTCTATTCCTGGGCATATGTTCTATAACACAGAAAAAGCAAAGACTTTGAAAAACGCCTCACTACCCGGAAAATTATGTTATGAAACTAAGGCCGCAACAAAATCCAAGTTCCGACAGAAGACGAGGAAAACAGAAAGTGACCCGAGAGCAGGAGACATATAAGAAATTACCAGTCCCTCGATCTGAACGACTCTGAGGGGCGGAGCTGTCTCCTCCGTCGATATCGCCTGCAAAAACGACCTAGCCACTGCCGACGGATCACACAAACAGTAGTAACCCATCAAAACCTCGATCACAGACAAAATCCTCACGGACAAGACAATCAAATCAAATACATAAACATAGATGCATCGAATTGCGTATGTGCTTTCGAGTACACGTGAAGAAGACAGGAGAAAGGTACTGACTAGTTGCCATTAATGAAATCTCGGGAGAAGAAGAAGCTACTGAATTCGAATAGGTTCTGCGAGATAGAGAGATTCCAAGATTCCGTCACCGGAGGAAATTCTCCGCCGTGAAAAGCTGAAAATATGGGACTTTCTCGGCGAGCGGCGGAGAAGGGCAAGAGAGCCTTTATGCGTCGATAGGGCTTCTCCTTCGGGTGGATTCGCAGATGCTTTTTTCTCTCTTTTTTTTTGGGAGTGAAACGCATTGAGAAAAGAAAGTTGAATTGCAAACAGGTCCCTACAATTTTGATACTTATTGAAATTGTCACAAATATTTGTTTCCGTCAAGAATATGAAAATTCATCACACAGAAAATCAAACAAATGTGTACTGCCAAAAGAAACAAGAGCGAAAGTGTCAAGAACAAATGCAAATCATGCTCCAAATACCATCCATAGTTCAAACCATATATACAAACGAGAAATATAACAGGTTTGGAAATATTTATTATTAAAATAGAGAATAACAATTTGATTTTATTGAAGTTATACACATGAAATTAATACTATTTATTATCAATTTTATTTGAATTAGTTTAAATAATTGCAACTAATCATAGTGGCCCTATTGTTTGTAACCCACTGCCACTAACCTAGATGTCTCACCCTAACAATATTTTCCACTTAGATTTGTATAAAATTATCAAATATGGAGTTCTTTTGCTTATATGCCACTTAGATTTGGACTTTGGATTCGGACCCAGATTGGATTTCGGTTCCGTCTGAAAAATCCAAATTGTATTTTTTTTAATTAATTAAAAATAAAAAATATATAAATTTCGAAAAACAAATTTAATGGATCAGTTCAATTGACACCCTACTTTCTCATCGTCCTTTTCTATGAGGAAATACAAACACAAAGAAGATAAGATAGTATACGATTTTTATATATTAAAAAATATTATCGTTTGAATAGTACTTTAAATGTATATAAACCTGTCATTTTGTTAAAAAATAAAAATATATATATAAATTTCCGACTATAAACATGTTGTAAGTTGTAACTCGTCGGAAATTTTATACCAAAATCAATTCATAAAAAAATTCCGCATCAGTAACTCAAAATTCAAAATTTTTAAAAATTCTAATATATACACACACATATACCCATATATACATATACATATATATATATATATATATGTACGTGTATATATGCGTGTTTTTTAATTTTATTTTATTGTTCATGTGGCACTTTTGTAATATGACATTGATATTAGGGGCATGGCCGAATCAGTCGAGCCCACTACTTTTTGGATTCGTACCAGCCTGACCTGTTTTTATTTTTTAAACGGGTTTGAATTATGTAGACCGGACTCAGTTCGCGGGCCCAACAAATGACTCGCGGACTAAAATAAATATTTACATGCATTTAATTTTTTTTATAAACCCAAAATTCAAAAGGTTTTTATTCCATCTATATATCCCATGATATGGATGAATACTCTCTTCCCAATAATTAGATGTGAACTAGAGATAAAAATATGTTTTGTATATTCTTTTATCACTAGATCATTCAATTTGGGTTACATTAATATAATATTAAAATATATATATATACATCCAAATATATATTCACTTATATTTACTTATATATACATAAATATAAAGATATATAAATTAGAGATAAGTGTATCAGGTTTCTCGTAACCGAACTATGTCGAATTAAAAATACGATATTTTTTTAATCGAATCATCCAAAATTTTCAAACGATATATTTTTTCAAAAATCAAATTTTCGAAAATCGAATTGAACAGAACTGAATTTAAAAAACTCAAAAAACTGAAAATTTCTTAAAAAAAATCTAATTAATATTTTTTAGGGGATAACAAATTTCTTTATAATTTTTAACAAATTGATGTAATTTTTTTCCTCTTTTCAAAATATTAGTTTAAAGTATTTATATTATTTCCATTCTAACAATCTCATACCTCCGAATGAAAAAAGATTGTGAATTTTCTGATAGGAATATATATTCATCAAAATTTAATCAATATGTGAAAAATTAGAATGTCATTACAAATGTGGACATCAAATTCCAAATTCATGTAATAAAACATTAAACATTTTAATTGATATGCTCTTTCTTGAGTCATTAGAATTTGTAAATGCTAAAGATTATTTTGTCAAGCACCTATAAATTCAGCTGTAATAATAATCTTAAACAATAAGTTGACATAAAATATTTTTATATTCATTAGGCTTACTTATAACGCCAAATTATAATTTATTACATGACTAATTGTAATAACCCGTAAATTCGACTTTCAAACCGAATTTTAGGAAATCAAATATGAGCCATAAAAATGTCCCTAAAATATTGAATTAGACCCTAACCAAGTTGACCCGAAGGATTAGACCGAAACGAGCGAGAAAAACGGGCGGAAAATTGGTCAGACCGTCCGGTCTGGGAGGCGCAAACCGTCCGGTCTGCCTAGCCGGACCGTCCGGTCTGAGGTCGCGGAATCGAATTCTTACGCGCCGCCACCTCCTGCTTCGCCATGCAGCCGCCTCTCCCACATTGGGCCACCTCCTGCTTCTTTTGGGACGCGAGAATTACCCTAAGTCCGCCCATTTCGCAGTTCTTTACCTCTCACTTCGCTCTCTCACTCCTCCACAAACTCTCTCTCAAATTTCCGAATCTTCAATCCTTGATTGAAGCTTCGATTTCAGTCGAAATCAAACAAGGAACGCATAAATCAACCCTACAGAACATCCCCAACGAAACCCCAAGCTCGAATTTGAGCTAAGTGAGTGTTTCGGATTATGCCCGAAAATGATAATCAAATTGAAAATGGAGATTTGCGTGGATTGAGTGCAAATTGCATGAAATTGATTCGGTCCAGGTCGGGATCGTCCGGTCTAGGGTTGTAGGTTTGCGAGGAAGAAGACGACCTCAGACCGTCCGGTCTAGGTCTCCAGACCGTCCGGTCTAGAACCCTCAGTCCGTTCGGACCGGAAACCACGGACCGTTCGGACTAGAACCCTCAGTCCGTCCGGACCGGGATGGACAGTCCGTCCGTTCCGGATCTCTATCTCCCCGTCTTGGCTCGTTTCTTCGGATCGAGCGGGATCCGATGCTACCGAACCCTATACGTGACCTACCCTGACCCATTCCTTACCCGTATTTCATGAAACTCGAATGAAACAACCTACAGTAAGTAAAACCTTCGGAACGAGTTGAATTGGTAATCCGAGATGGTCGGAACCCAATTTGATCGGATCGGAGGATAAAAGAATAGAATGAACGTAAAGGAATTGATATACCAAAAATGACAAGTAAGGACGTATGTATATATGATTAAAGTATAATGATATACAAGTGTGTGTGATTGGGGAAATCGGGTAGTTGGCATGGCGTGAGACTTTATTCCGGAGGGCCGGGATATGGTTGAGCGTGTGATTGTAGCGGGTTGATGTGATATTCCGATGATTTCGTTGGCTGAGATCTCCTCTTTATGATCTCTGACCCGGGTCGGGTTTCATATTGAGGAGGCATGATTGTGATTGGTTTTCCACGGGCAGAGCTTAGAGCCGATGATACACGTGATAGTCTTGAGCGATTCGGCTATCACGGGGTTGAGGAAATCCTACGGTTACATTGTAACCGCGCCAACGTTCCACTAGCTATGGAACGGGTTCGGGATCGAGTGATTCTCCCGGCAGAGACTGGCAATACATTTACCCGTGACTCGGGATTGAGCGATTCTCCCGACGAGGTTATGCGAAGGAACTCAGAAAGACCTGAGCTCGGGTCCAATGAGTTTCTTCGTGGCGGACGGCCGACGAGAGGTTGTCAGTTGTGTACTGGCTTCGCTCGACATAATCGGTGGTGGCCTGGAGTAGGCACCTGGCGCTCTGGCATCGAGAAGTGACATCGATACCAGAGATGATGATTGATGTGATATGTTTTACGAAGTGGGGCACGGAGTTGATATGTTTTATTATTCCGGCGATGGCCGAGGAGAGCGGGGGATGTGCGTTGCACATGGAGCGTCCTTACCCACATGTGTGATGCACACGTGGAGATGATTTGACGGGATTGATGATACTGATAGACCCGATGGGTCGAGCTTTGACTGGTATATTTGCCCTGATCTGGTGTCACCAGATTCTTGCGGTATCCTATGTGTGCGATGCACATATAGATGATTTGACGGTTATGTCCGATAACTCGTCATTCGGACTGAGTGTGTATGATAGTGATTATCTGTACCATTGAGTGAACCGTGTTTGATGGCATATAGCGTGTATATATGTATACACCTATAATTACCATGTGTATAATATTGGTTGTGTTTGGCCATTTGCAATTTAAGTATGATCTTCGGGTCTAACCCGAAGTATTCACTAAGCATGTAGTTTATGGACGTTGTTATGCAACGTTTCAGGCTCGGAGCAGTTTTGGCAGCAGCAGGACGAGGGTACTGGTCATGTACTTTTCTTTCTTTGGACTTATGTTGGTTTGTATGGACGGTGACTAGACTTTGTGTTATATCGGATTCAATTGGCGTGTATACTACCGTACGTGGGTTTGTTAAACATATATTTGTTTTTCGCTGCGTGTGTAATAAAGTAAAATGTTTTAAATTTCCGCTATTTTATTATATAGTTTGAACGTCCATGTGGCACAACTCGTGAGCGGGAGACGGGTTACGGGTGTCACACTAATATTCTTTTCGCTCAATCAAAATGCAATTTACTCAACCCACACATTATTAGTTAGACATCAATATCAAAATATTCCAAAATAAAATAAAAATAAAAATCTCTTCCAACAAATACATGGGCATGGGCACAATCAATACTGTGTCAGCATGTCAGGTTCATCCATTTCGCATTAGAGTTCGTCAATTTTTTATATAGTATTTCCAGACTAATCATATTTAAACTAAATTTTATATTACAATAAATTTATTAAATCAAATTAAAAATAAATCAGATTTCCCAATGAAAGTATTTAGAAAATAATAATAATAATAATATAATGAATTTAAAAAATAGAATGAAAAGTAATGGTGACAAATATAAAACAATCAAACCTGTTATAAATAAATTATTTACGGTAAAGTCTTAAGATTTTACATCGATTTACTATTTATAACCGGTTTGGTTATTCATTTTTGTTAACTTTAATATATAACGATTATTTATTTTTCAAATAAATTTTATGACTCTTT